AAACAATTATTAAAGAAATAGAAAATAATATTTCTAAAATATTCTAACGAAATTAACAATTTCCTTCGACCACGCTCTTCTTTCTTTAACAAAAAATAATATCTAACGAAATAGCTGAACATTCATTCATTTAATAAAATAGCCTTACATCATCCTATTTCCTACCATCAAAAGAAGGAAAATCTTCGAGCAAGGAGAAGAAACATCATAAATTTGCAGGAATTTTTTCTTTTCTTTTATTTTATCTCTCTCTCTCTCTCTCTCTCTCTCTCTCTCTCTCTCTCCTTCTCTCCCTCTCTCTCACTCTCTCTCTCTCTCTCTTATTCTCTATCTCTATCTCTTTCTCCCTTTATAAAGAAAATAATATACTCATGTGGAATTTAAAAAAAAGAACTAAATTCAAAATAAAAAGATATAATATTATTATTATTATTATTATTACTAGGATCAATAATCGAGAGAAAACAGAGAAAAAGAGAATAGAAATAAAAAAAAAGAAAGAAAAAGAAAGAAAGAAAATAATGAAAAATAATTATACCAAAATATTCCTGTGCAATTTACGCGGTTTGGCATAGAGTAATGAAATATTTTAATGAGACAAATTGGCTCAGTCCGTAAAACTACTAATGTTAATACAAAATGAGATTTTATTATGTCTAATTGATTATTATCTAACCATATGATTTTCTCTTTTATTATTATTATTATTATTATTATTATTATTATTATTTTATAAATTAATAATGTACGTGTTTTCATGAGTTTTTGCATTAGGATTTTTTTTTTTTTTTACGAATTACAAGATCATTGTAAAATTTGTTGCCACACATTTTATAATTTACATGACTCGTTTATTTGACAGTGCGAGTGATAGGTTTAGTGTTAATATATAATAATTGAGTATATATTAATATAAAAAAAAAAAAATAAAAAAAAAAGAGAGAAACAAGGAAAGATAATACGAAGATATTCCTTTTCGAAAAGGATAAAGGTGAACAAAAAATGGCCAGGATATCCGTCATACTTCAGGTGGAGGGTTGGGGGTGGGGGGTTGGTATATATTTTCTTATTCTGTTTTGAGGCTCTTGCCTTTGCTCAAAAATCACGTATTACATGATATATAAGTTGTAATCGATATTGTAAATTATGCGATTTCATCATCGTTTCTCTCTCTCTCTCTCTCTCACTCTCCCTCTCTCTCTCTCTCTCTCTTTCTCTTTTCAATCCTTTTCTATTTCCTCAAAAACCAAAGAACGAGAAAAGAAAGATGTAGGAGAAAAAATACGAACAAACAAATAAACAAAAAATTATTAACCTTTTTTTTTTTTTTTCGAAATGCACCTCCATCCTCCTCTTTCTAATCCTCCTCCTCCTCCTCCTCTTTCTCCGATAAAAAAATCTCATCGTAAAAAATAATGAAATCAAAAAAAAAAAGAAAAATAATATAACGAAAGGAGGAAAGAAAGAAATAATTACGCGCGTATGGCGGATTTAATTTTCATTGTTAAACCACTAATACGTTTAACATTTCACGGAATACTATCTACGCGTTTATATTCCTCATTATTATTATTATCATTATTATTATTGAATATACGATTACGTTAACACATATAATCCTTCCTTTATTATTTCTAATTAATTACGTTCTTTCTTTTTATCCTTTACTTTTATTCAATATTACTTTTTACGTCACCGAAAAATAGAGGGAGAGAGAGAGAGAAAGTGAGTTAGTGAGAGAGAGAGGGAGGGAGGTATTGGCTAACTTGGAAACGATTAATGAAGGTTTGCTTGTAATTACTATTTCGAATTAACGATGGCACATCGTTCAGGCAACATTAAACTGTGTTTCATTGCACTTGAAACTAAGCTTTATTCAAGAGCACGCAGTTGGAAGCACGTTAACCAGAGATGTGCTTGAAATAATTCTCTGCACAATGGAAAAGAGAATAAGAGGGAGAGAGAGAGAGAGAGAGAGAGAGAGAGAGAGAGAGAGAGAGAAAGAGAGAGAGAGGAAGAGAAGAGAGGAGAGGAGATTGTATGGTCGAATTAATTTAAATAAAATCGAGATTGTGGAAACGATAAGTATGTCATATTTTTTCAATCGTTTTTTTTATTCATATCTTATATTTTCTTTCTTTATAATTCACTCTACCAAAAATTCCGTTAAGTGTTTTTCTTAATTAATTGTTCACGTTATAAAGTACAATAATTGCACATCGATATAATGCACAATGATTATTCCCCCGAGATAATAACAATTCATTTTTTTTACGTTGACCAGGTGTATATATTCCTGCGTAATTATTTCCATCTAACGATGATAAAAAAACATTAGAAGATATGATAAAATTACATTTTCCCTTTGTTTCCTTCCCTCTCACCGTTCATTTAAATAAATATATACTTACAAGAAAAAAATCATTATAAACAAGATCTCAGATTAAATTTCACTTATTTCCAACGCACGAGTAAGTAGTAATAATAATAATATATTATATATATATATATATTTTCCCAAAAGAAAAAAAAAAAAAAAGGGGAATACTAAATGAACAAAATAATAATACCATATTATAATATAATATGATACAGAATTAAAAATGAAATTCTTTCAACTTTTATTACGAGTACCTGCTAGCGTATCTCAAACATATCGCAGGAAACTTGGCATAGAACCTAAACAGAACAAAAATGAATAAGTACTCTTATTTGCGTATTTAATATTTGTAATTGCACATATTATTAATTATTTATTTAATTGGTTATTAATAATTGAAAATACAAAAACGTTATTTCTTATTTCTAAGCAAAGCAATGAAGTCTTCTATTGTTTTTTTATTTTCAATCAATTGCTGACTTTTTGTTTGTCCGTTTTTCTCCGGTCTTTCTAATTCTAATATGATATCGGCTTTTTTTTTAATCTAGTAAGTCTTTTTCCTGTACCTGTTCTAAGACAATCGTTCTTAACGAATAAACACCTTTAATTAATAATTAAAACAAAATATCTATATTAGATTTCTAATTAATGTTTTTTATTAAATGTATATAGAATTAAATTACACATTCACTTTGTGTAGACTACTCGTTATTAAAAGTTACTAGGAAATAAGAAAGTTTAAGAAATATTGAAAATCTAGTAACCTGGCTAAGCCGATATCGGTAATAGTAGTGCACTACTTACCATCAGAATTACTGACAATAGAAAAATTTTCACCGTAGAAAGAAAAGAGTAAATGCTCTTAATTGCTCAATAATTGCTCATTTAAAATCCATAATTGCTCGCCTAATTAACTATTAATTTTTTACTATCGGTAATTCTGTTGGTAAGTTACCATCAGATCTCGGTCGGTAAGTCGTATTACCGATAGTAGAAAAATTATTAGTTTATTAGGCGTGCAATTATGGATTTTAAATGAGCAATTATTGAGCAATTAAGAGCATTTACTCTTTTCTTTCTACGGTGAAAATTTTTCTATTGTCAGTAATTCTGATGGTAAGTAGTGCACTACTATTACCGATATCGGCTTAGCCAGGTTACTAGAATTTCAATATTTCTGAAACTTTCTTATTTCCTAGTTACTTTTTATAACAAATAATCTACACAAAGTGAATATGGAAATAAATTCTATATACATTTAATAACAAACAACAATTAAAAATCTAATATAAATATTTTGTTTTAATTATTAATTAATGGAGCTTACTCTTTAAGAACGATTGTCTTGGAACAGGTACAGGAAAAAGACTTACTAGATTAAAAAAAAAAACCGATATCATATTAGAGTTAGAAAGACCGGAGAAAAACGGACAACCAAAAAGTCAGCAATTGATTGAAAATAAAAAAACAATAGAAGACTTCATTGCTTTGCTTAGAAATGAGAGAAAACATTTTTTATATTTTTAATTATTAATAACCAATTAAATAAATAATTAATAATATGTACAATTATAAATATTAAATATGCATTTAATATGCACAATTATGAGTACCTATTAATTTTTTTCTGCTCTTGAGATTTCCATGCCAATTTTTCGTTGGGGGGTCTCAAACATCATTTATTATATTAAAAGTTTTTATGAAGGAAAGGAAGATCTCGCGTTTGCGCTTTTACCTGCTAAGGTAAGATCAAGTTGGATGGATACCTGGCGCCAACAACCAACCAACCAACCAACCAACCAACCAACGACGACAACGAAACCGACAGTTTGTCGAGCATAGAGAAAGTAATAACCTTCTGGCTGGCTGGCTGGTTATTCGGGGAAATCATTCGAAACTATCAGTGGTGGTGCAACTGTGCAGTTTTATAAAACTGAAAGAGCGCAGTCTCGCGCTAATTCTATTGGGTGGGAGGTGATCAGCTGTTATAGAACATACACACGAGGACACACACCGAGATGTTCGTCCTGCAGAAGTCTATATTGTAAGTAGCAAAAAAAAAGAAAAAAAAAAAAGAAAAAACACATACACATTTTTCGTTTATTTTTAAACATAATTTTTAATCCTCACGAATTTTATCAACAAATTTTATTTCATTCTATTTTCTCTCTCTTTCTCTCTCTCTCTTCTCGATGATAATAATAATAATAATTATTATTATCATTTAATTCGTTAGTATATATATACACACGCATCGATAATATCCGTACATTTAATTATCTTCTACTTTTTTCCTCATGCAAAATATCCTCATCTCAAACAGTTTATCTATCGAAAGGCCAACAACACCCGTGAATGTCAGTTAAAAATCAATAAATAACTCGACGACACTATGTTTTCTTATCATCCTAAATATATTAGAAAACACGTGCGCAAAGTATTTTATATTAAACTAATATATATATATATATATATATATATGTGTATAAATACGTGTGTGTTAATCTGTATAATGTACGAATTGTTTAGAGATATTTTTTTTTTTTTTGGGTAGGATTAGATTTAATTCAATTAATCGTAATAGAAACGTGTACATATTTGAGATACTAAAGAATATAGTAGAAGTATAATAGTTAGACACATCATTGGAATCATGCTAACCTCGCTTCTGCCGCAATGCGGTGCTGAAAATAGGAGTACACTTTGCTTCGAAGCATCTGCCGATCGATACCAGGCCGGGGTTTAGGATTCCTTTTATCGTTGTGTGTTGCCCTTATGCTTGTTAATACTTTTTTTTTTTACTCCTGCTCCTCCTCCTCCTCCCCGCCTCCTTGTTTTAATTAACAATTTACATCAGAAAATTGTATCCCTATATTTATCCCTAATTGTATCCCTATTTACTTATTATCTATTTAATTTTGTTTTCACATATCCCATAAAATGAATGAATTTTGTTTGTATATTTATTATTATTTAATATATTTATGCAAAATATGTATATCATCTTTCGGAATAATTTCGGTTGCAATAGTCAGTCGAGTAATCTACGTGTATTATTCGAAAGGTCAAAAACCTCGAATCTTTTCATCTCTTTCACGTTTCTTTGCCTGTTCCCTCAACGATAAAATACATTCTCATACGTATATAAATGAACCGTTAGGTGATGAAAAGAGAAAGAGAGAGAGAGAGAGAATCATCCTGACAATGACTCATGGGACACAAAAACTAATGATTTGTCTTAGGTTCCGTAAAAAGTCGATAATTTCTGATTAACTTAAAGAAAAATTTGAACATTAGAACATCGTATTAATGTCGCGTGATTACAAATCTTTATGAATTAGGATATTATAATAATGTCATTATATGTGTTATTGCTTAAAATAAAGAAATGTTAGTCTAATAATAATCTTAATTGAATTAAATTAATCTTATCATTAATTTATACGCTTCTTATCCAACATTATTATCGTAAATTATTTGAAACGTTTTATGTTCTCGTGTCCTTGTTGCATGAACGAGCTTATGGCTAATACAATCGACCTATATAGAAATCTTACCATAGGTTTTACCTACTTGCCCTGTACCAGGCTTTAAAGTAGATAGAACTTTTAGTAACAGCCTAACGAGATACTTTAACATCTGTCCGCCATCCCGTTGTCTCAATCGAATTTCATTATTATTATTTTTATGTTTTTACAAATTTGCTAATAAAAAATGATTCTCGTTGTGTTGGTAATATAAAGAAAAAAGACAAAAAAAAGCGACAAATATTTCTTCATATTTTAATGGGGGGGTATTCTACGTTTGTTTGTGTTTTTTTCCCCCTTTCAAATTGGTCAATAATTAATTATTGTTCTTATGTTAAAAAATGAGGAAAAATAGTTAAAGAGGATAAACAAATTTTTGCGTACGTTTTATCCGATCCGTATTAAAATTTCATGGAAAATAAACGGATTCGTCGAAATGACGAACGAACAGATGTTCAAAAGTTTTCTTTTTTTTTTTTTTGTTTCAAATAAAACGCGTAGACGAAGTTTATTGCTCATGGATAAATTTACATCTGTTCGATTATTTTTCTTAGTAATACGTTAAACGAATTTTTCACGAAGAAAACGAATCGTCGAGCAAAGCGTATGTCAAATTTGATAAATTAATTTACATGATTTTCTTTTTATTCGTATTGTTGATATTACATTTTTCTTCAATTGGGGAATTATTAAATAAATTTTTCCTACATGCAATTTAAAACACGCATAACTCGTGTCCTCGAGTTATTTATAATACTCATATTAACCCATTTAATGGTTTCGTATTTGCCTTTTTTTTTTGTTATCAACAAAAAGATACGAATTATTACTTTATTTCTGCTAGCAGTATATTATAAAGTAAAAAAAAAATTCGTGAAAAATATCATCGCACATATATTCAAGAATATTACAATATCGCGTTACACAAATGGATAAATAAAATACACAAAAAATAAGAATGTAGAATAACGTTCCGCTTTTTCGTTTCTTTTTATTTTTTTTTTTTATTTTTTATTACCTATTTTATTATCCAATACGTTTAGATCGAACAATCATTTTCTATATTTATACACGACAAGTTCTTTTAACAATTGTTAGTCTTGTAACGAATCAAGACAAAGAGGTATTATTGAAACAATAAGAAACACAACACGTAGATACACGCGTATTAGTTCGTGAGTGTAATTAATGATACATTTTTTTTTTTAATTAATAATATGCTTTAACACACACACTGTCATTCCGTTAGAAACATTCGGACCGAATGGATTCCAAATAAATTCATCTTAATAAATTATATAGTGTTTCTATATCACGGTTGTGTGTTTGTGTGTGTTCCTTGCGTATTGTCAAATAATTCAAATTAATATTTCAAAAAAATAATATCATCATCATATATGTTAACGATGAACGGGATTATACGTAGTAGGAGAAAATTAATCGAAGGACGTTTCAATCTGTAAGTTGTAACAATTTAAAACGTATTTTCTTTTTTTAATACTAATTGAAATCGTTCAAAACTATTGCATGAATTCTAATCGATTGGAAAAACGTTCTTCTCTCTCTCTCTCTCTCACACACACACTCTCTTTGATAAATTTTATTAGCAAACTCGATATCATCGATTAGATATTATATAATGCTACATATCGGAGATTAGAATTTCAATGAATTACTTTATGTCAATGTCACTTACGTTTCTAACACGTATACACGCTTGTAGATAAACGATTTGAAATTACGAATAGAAATAAATAAAAAAAGAAAGAAAGAAAATAAAAGAAAAAGAAGGAGTGTTCAATGGAATGACATAATGATTCATTTAAAGAAGATTACAAAATCGTAGAAGTTCAATATAGATAATAATTGAACGGTATTATGGTAGTAACTATGATCATTTAATGGCAATGAGGAAACCGTAATGAACAAGGTTGTTGCGGTGAGAAAGGGTGACGTCAAGTTTTATAATACAAACGCACTTACGCGTGTGTGTGTGTATGTGTATGACATAATAATCACATACGCGTAAAGAATATATAACAAAAATGATTTAATACTTGGAACAAAGAGAGAAATCCTTTACCCCCCCACCCCCCGTTTCCTCCTTTTATTTTTTTTTTTTTATTTTTTCTCTTTCTTTTTTTCTTACGAGACATTTATATTTTCTCACCTAAATATATTTTTCGCGACGTCGCGTTTAATGAAGATTAGTTATGTAAGCATTTTTGACATTAGGTTTGTTCCGTAAAATCTGGCTATACGCCACAAGAAATAATAATAATAGACAACTCTAATCTCGCGTAGAATACTTTTGCGATTATATATATAATATATATATATATTATCGAAATAATCTAAAAATATTTTTAACTAATTCTTTATTTATTTTTTAGTATACACCAATTTTTCTTATCTTTTTTTTGTCGCAAATTTTAAATACGCCACAAGGAAAAAAAGAAAAATAATAATAATAATAATAATGGACAATTCTAATCTCGCGTAAAATGCATTTGCGATTATATATTGGATATAATAAAAAATGTAAAAATATCTTTTTATCCTCTCTCTATTCTGTAAATATATATATATATAAAAAAAATGTATAGTCTTTTTATTCGATGTTTATTTTTAGAATACCATAACTGCCTATGAGTCAATATTTTCTTCATCGATCGAAAAATCAAAATCCTTGATATTACTATTTCTCATCGGTATATTCGTTTGATATATTATACAACACGGTATATATCACGTTCATTAATTTAAGTGAAGTTAGGTTGATAAGCCTACGTATAACGTTATCATTTTATCTTTCGATAGAAATGATAAAATACTAACATATGTTCTAGATAATCTCTATTCCCATAATGGTAAATCAAGAATTCTATTGCAAATGTCAAATGTTAAAATAGAATCGTAACAATTTATTCGATAAATTGAAACTTTTCATATTACATACTCTCGTTTATTACTATCTTTTAAAATAGATCCAATATGCAAAGGACGTTTTAAATGCAATATACTATGATACTCGTGTAAACAAGTTGTTTGGCATCGGTTCTATAGATGAATAATAAAAAAAAACAATAAAAAAGTGCCATTAAAATGTATATTAACAATACTTACATTTATTTTTACTAGTATCAACAACTAATTTTTAATTAATTACGTGTCACGAACACACCTTTGTCTTTTAAACAATTGAAATGTTTTTTTTTTGCGTTACGTTAATTTATTTTATACGATGCGAATGACCGTACGAACTAACATCTATTTATTCGAAATAAAAACTTCAAGGTTGTGACACGAGATGAATGGAAAATTTGTGTATCCTTCATTTTACAACATTATGATTTTTCTTCGAAATTGTCAATCAAAAAACATGGAAAACAAAAAATTCAATATTCAATCATTAATTTGTTATGTTAACGAATAAGGCTTAATTATATTGATAATAAAAAATCGTATATAGTTGTATTTAATTAAAATATTTTACGTTTATCCGTCAAATGAATATTCTACAATTAATTGTAATTAATAATAATTTTGAACGATCGTGATATTTAAATTAACAACGATCACCCATCTAGGTGACGAATTTTCGTTTCTAGGCATGATGCCAAAAAGGCCACTATACTATTCACACTTCTACACACATACAATACTCTTTAATTTATTATTTTCCTTTGAGAAAATATTTAAATAACGTTAAAAGTATAATTGATTCACATGAAATTCCTTCAATTCGTTTAATCGTCATTATTAAATATAATATTTCCTGCTTACTGTTTCTATCTTTTTATAAACGTGAGTTATGTGAATCATCACATAGCAAATGGTTGTGTCGGACATTATCAGGATATTTTTGACATCATTAAATGAAAAAAAAAGAAATACCTTTTATTCCCACGCTACGAATTTTTGAATCAGTTTATTTACGCAAGTAATAAAAGTATGGTATAATTGAATAATTGCTATAACTAATTATATTGTATAATAATATAGTAAAAAGTGTGTTTGAATGAAATTATTAATCGCGATAATAATTATTGATGTTCTATCTAACATATTAAAATTAACATATTCTTTTTTTTATTTATTTAAATTAGATCAGCTTGCAGCAGAAATTGTGGAGGATCATGGGCACGTGCATTACCACCTTCACATCCTGCAATAAAGGATACCAGACAAAGAGATATTCACGAGGTTTCTGGAGATGTTGTTCCCATAAATATGGTCAAGGGAATCGGACATCTCAGAGATCCTCGTTTGAATAAGGTATAATTAAAAAACAATTATTTAAACATTTTATCTCGAGTTTGCGTAAGCATATAAAAATTTGATAAAGGACAAACTATTATATTCGAGTATAATTATTTTATTATTTATTACCCATAAAATTGAATTAAAATAAAATAAATTAATATTCCAAAAAGTATTCTCCTTTTTTTATATATATATATATATATTTATAAAAATTAAAATGACACACATAAAATTGAATGGAATCGAAATAAGAAAGAAACTACGTGTTATAAAATACGTGTTATAAAACTTCCAGTTAATTTAAAAAAATATATATATTTTTAAGTGTCTACTTAAAGATAAGAATTATTGAAGTTTACTTTCAAGAAGTTGACATGAGTTAATTGCTTGAAATCACACAAATGTGTATGTGGTTTAAAAAACAATTTACGATAGGCAATGATTACTCTTAAGTTATAAATTTAATAACATTATAAATGTCATCGAACAGGGTTTGGCTTTTACTCTGAAGGAGAGAATATCATTGGGAATTCATGGTCTCCAACCACCACGATTTAAAACTCAAGAGGAACAATTGGCATTATGCAAGGCTTCGGTTATGAAATATACAGAAGATTTAAATCGTTATCTCTACCTCGTCGAATTACAGGTATAATATAAACATTCACGTTCATTTAATAATTTAAAAAATATTTTATATATAATATAAAGCTTTAAAATAATATAGAAAATTAAATTGATTTTTTAACTTTTTTAAACACAGGAAAGAAACGAAAGATTATTTTTTCGATTATTAAGTGAAAACATTGAACAAATGATGCCAATTGTTTATACCCCAACAGTTGGATTAGCTTGTCAAAAATTTGGTGTCATATATCGTAGACCACGTGGATTATTTATAACCATATACGACAAAGGTCACATTTATGAGATTCTCAACAATTGGTTTGTATGCATTTCTAAATTCAAATTATATAATCTATTATTTTACAAAGAAAAATATATATATATATATAAAGTATTATATTTATATTTCAAAATAAAATTATGTAATTTAATTTTATCAGGCCTGAACAAGCGGTTCGTGCAATTTGTGTTACCGATGGCGAGAGAATTTTAGGTTTGGGTGATTTAGGTGCCTGCGGTATGGGAATTCCAGTTGGAAAATTGGCACTTTACACTGCTTTAGCTGGTATAAAACCTCATCAATGTTTACCAATTACAATAGACGTAGGTACCAATAACGAACAACTTCGTGATGATCCTCATTACATTGGTTTAAACAAACCAAGAAGTCAAGGTGCTGAATATGATGAATTGATCGACGAATTTATGGCTGCTTGCGTACGAAAATATGGGCAAAACGTTCTTATTCAAGTAATTCGATATTTTACAATATATATATATACAACGACTAATATGTTTTTAATCTTATCTAATATTTACATTTAAAATTTGCAGTTCGAAGATTTTGGAAATCACAATGCTTTTCGTTTTCTGGACAAATATCGTGACAAATATTGCACTTTTAACGATGACATTCAAGGAACAGCAGCTGTAGCAGTTGCTGGTATACTTGCATCGAAAAGAATAACGAAAAGAAAAATGTCTAATAACAAATTTGTATTTCTTGGTGCTGGTGAGGTATGTATGAATGTACTTTTTTTCATTTTTCCTTTTTTTTTTTGTTTTTGAAATTAATTAATCTCAATAAGATTGTTCTCTAAGTTTTTAATACATAATTATCGTTAATTTATTTATAAAAACAAACACAAAACAAAAACAAAAAAATAAAAAAAGAGTGGCAGGAAGTTTCATACAAGCATTTTTCTAATATTTCGATGAAATGAAAAAAACAACAGGCAGCAATAGGAATAGCTGATTTGTGCGTGAAAGCAATGGAAGCTGATGGTTGTACGGAAGCGGAGGCTCGAAATAATATTTGGATGATGGACATCGATGGTTTGTTGGTAAAAAATCGTCCGGAAGGTAATCTGGAGGGTCATAAAATATGGTATGCCAAGGATTACAAGATAATGAAATCTTTGATCGACGTTGTTCGCGAAGTTAAGCCAACTGTTTTGATTGGTAAGTAACCCATTTGTTCGTTGACACGTATCAATTTCTTTCTAAAGTCTAATCGTTCAAATAGGAGCCTCGGCAGCGGCTGGTGCTTTCACCCCAGAAGTTCTCAAAGAAATGGCAAAGAACAATGAAAGACCATTGATCTTTGCTTTGAGTAATCCAACAAGTAAAGCTGAGTGTACTGCACAACAGGCATACGATTTCACCGATGTAAGTTGGAAAAAAAAAGAATCATTTGAAGAACGTTTAATAATAACAATTTGTTTGAATTTTTTTTCTTTTCTTTTAGGGTAGATGCATATTCTCATCTGGTTCACCCTTTGGCGAAGTTAAACATAACGGAAAAATTTACAAACCAGGTCAGGGTAACAACGCTTACATATTCCCTGGAATTGCATTAGGTGTTATTGCAACTGGAGTACATCACATTACCGAAGATTTATTCCTTATTTCTGCTCAATCGATAGCCGATCATGTAACTAATGAAGATCTTGAAATGGGTAGTTTATATCCACCCTTGAGCACTATTCGAGAATGTTCGATCGATATTGCCGTTAAAATAGCCAATTATGCTTATGCCAAAAGTAAGTAACGATTAATATATAATATATATTCTTATCTGTAATACTATTAGAAAAGTTTTACAAATGAATGTGTGTGATTAATGTTATATCCAATAATAATTTAGATCAATAATGATCGTTCATTGATATAATTTTTGTTGTTGTTGTTTATTCGAACAGGTGGTTTAGCTAGCGAATATCCCGAGCCAAAGGATAAACGACAATTTATTGTCAGTAAGATGTATGATGCCAACTATGATAGCCCACTGCCAAATTTATACGATTGGCCAAGTGATTATGCCGAACCTCGTGTATTACCAGACAAGTAAGTAATGTTATACAACATATTATTAAGTTTTATAATTAGTCAAATAATAATCCTTCGATAGCACGTATCCAAACACATATTCGTATAAAAACAAATTCAATACAGATAAAATAAGATTTATTATATTATTTATATTATTTCTTTTGTGTTAAAAAAGGCTGTAGAGAGAAATTCGAAAGAATGATTAATTTGATTTAATCACCGATAGATTAGAAATAATTCAACCGCAAGAAAAGTACCAACGTGTGAGACGTGCTGTGTGTGATGTTTGGTAGGATTAGTTAAGAACGATAAAGATTGTGTAGTTTTAGATAGGATGATTAATTATTAATTAATTAGTTATCTAGCTTGAACGTAACGTGCACGTTATTTATTTTAATTTTGCTTATTAACGTATTAATGCATTCTTATCTTTTCTTTTTTTATTAATTCCTTTTCTTTTCTTCTCGTTTCTTATCTTTTTAAATATCTCCAAATTGGTTATGGTTTTTTTTCTGCGTAAATTATTTCGATAACGAATACGTTTCTGGAATTAATGGATTATATTTTTAACCAATGCAATAATGGCTGTGTTTTTTCTTTCCTTTTAAACAAAAAAAATACGAGATAAGAAAGAAAAAAAAGAAAAGTAACACAACAGTTATTAGCTTTAGTCGTAGCTTGAGATTTTGAACGAAAAGCTTCGTAAGCTTATTATGTTCGCACTTAAAAGAAAAAAAGTATGATATTATAATTAACAATTTATTATTTGCAACATTACCAAGACACACGTTGTGTTTGTTTAATTAATAATTAATTATTATTTCTTATTTTATATTTTTGTTTCATATTTGTAATTTTATTATCCGATATATTTTCTATTATCGTTACGAATATTAATTATATCTAATTTTTATCTAACGATTGTGCCATTATAATTAATCCGCTTATTATAATAGTTCAAACTATATTATTATTATTTTCTCGTTAATATGAAATAACGAATTAACGAATGAAAAAAAAAAGAATCTGTATTTTCATATATAAATTTCATTTTCTCTTTTCATCTGATCATCTCCCCCACAGACATCACTAACAATAATAATAATTCACTCGAAGAAATTTATAAGCTCATTTATAGTAACTTGCAAGCCAAGCCCAGCTGAAGCTTTGATTAATCTTTTTCAGAGATACTGTAGAAATCCGCCACGATTTAAAACATCTGTAGCGGATTTCACCGGATGGTGGGGATGTTTGAAGGGTATTATAAAAAATAAAAAAAAAGAGAACAAAAACAGAGAGAGAGAGAGAGAAAAAAAAAAAARAAACACTTTAAGATTTCTGGTAGAAAATCTATTTACTGTGTCATGGTAAAATAAAAACTGTGAGAAAGAGAGAACGAGAGAACGAGAGAAAGAGTGATACATATATATATATATATTTATATTTGCTAATTTTTTTTTTTTTTTCTTTATGTTTGTCTTATTGTTTTCTTTATGTTTTTTTTGGGGATTTTTCTTTTTATAGAAAAGAATGCATTATTTGTTTGTGTAAAAAATATTTTAAATATAAGAATCGTTCTCTACCATGTGTGTGTGTGTGTGTATGTGTATGTGTGCTTTTTACGTTGATGTAACTTGCATGATTAAGTGAGAGGGAGGGAGAATGAAAGAATAAGAGAGAAAGAAAGAGAGAGAGAGAGAAAGGGAAAGAAAGATAAAAATATTAATGTTCCATTCATATAACTCTAATATTAACAAAAATCATATAACCGGTGTCGTTTTGCGTTCTAACATCCTTTATATCCTCCTTCGTCCTATTGACAGTATTAAAAAAATAAATGAAACAAAAAAAAAAAAATAAAGTTCNATAAAAACAATATAAACGTACTATATTACTTAATATTACAAAATATATAAAAATAAAATAAAATTATAGGTTATAATAGGTAAAAAAAAAAAAAAAAAAAAAAAAACAGAGAAAAAAATAAAGAAAAAAAAAAAAAGAAACACTTTAAGATTTCTGGTAGAAAATCTATTTACTGTGTCATGGTAAAATAAAAACTGTGAGAAAGAGAGAACGAGAGAACGAGAGAAAGAGTGATACATATATATATATATATTTATATTTGCTAATTTTTTTTTTTTTTTCTTTATGTTTGTCTTATTGTTTTCTTTATGTTTTTTTTGGGGATTTTTCTTTTTATAGAAAAGAATGCATTATTTGTTTGTGTAAAAAATATTTTAAATATAAGAATCGTTCTCTACCATGTGTGTGTGTGTGTGTATGTGTATGTGTGCTTTTTACGTTGATGTAACTTGCATGATTAAGTGAGAGGGAGGGAGAATGAAAGAATAAGAGAGAAAGAAAGAGAGAGAGAGAGAAAGGGAAAGAAAGATAAAAATATTAATGTTCCATTCATATAACTCTAATATTAACAAAAATCATATAACCGGTGTCGTTTTGCGTTCTAACATCCTTTATATCCTCCTTCGTCCTATTGACAGTATTAAAAAAATAAATGAAACAAAAAAAAAAAAATAAAGTTCGAGAACGCTAATAGAGATAATTTTTTCTTTTTCTTTTTTTTTTTTCCATTTTTAACTATTGAAAGTAATTCGAGAAAGTATGCGGACCACGTGAGTGTTTGTTTCTACGTACTAGAATTACATTTTACAATTCGATTTTTTGTATCGATTAATTTTAATAAAATATATAGCAAAGAGTAATATTAGATAAAAAATAAAATATTTGTTATATATATATATATAGATTTTATTTATATCAAAAATATAATTAAATCATTTAAAAATGTTATTATTTATCCAACTCGTTTGTATATGCGTGTGTTTACTTCGTATCTTCTTATGTTTGATTTGAAATAGTTCATTTTTATTTTTCAATTTATAAATCGTTTTAATGATATTACGTTAGTCAAAAGATTTACTGTTAATAAGGAAACATATTTAATCCTGTCCTAAAATAATATAACAATGTCCTTCCATCCTTGAATCATATGATCGATCCTCCTGATCCAACAAGGATCCTGAATTTTAAAACATAAGTGATAACAACTAATTGTAAGTGCTAGCTTTTGCGCTGTTGCATTTTTTGGGTTTTTCTTTGCCAATATATTTGATATAATAAGTGGTATTCTTTCTTATTTATTTTCTATTCTTGGGTTTCTATTCTTGGGTTTCTATTCGTACGAATTCTTTCTCTAATCAATCAATCAGTTTTATTTAATATTATATCTTCTTTTATTTATTATTATTATTTATTTATTTATTTCCCCGCCAAAAAAGTTGTATATATATATGTATGTAATAATATAAAAAATAATTTCACCAAAGTGGAGAAGTTCTTACAAATTAGAAACAAAAAAAAAACTCTTTTAAGAAAATATTTGATTTTTTTTTTCTTTCTTTTCTTCAAAAATTCTATTTTTACTTAATAAAACTCGAGAATTCTCTTTTTTTTTTTTTGATATTAATAAAACATTATTTTCTTCTCTCATATAAGCTTAGGTATTAAAACAGTAGGAATTGTCGTCTTGTATGTCGCATGTGTTCTATGATGTGTGTAACATAAAACTTTATAAAAATGATACAATTAATAAGTAAATTATATGCTTCTTGTGATAATTGTGAAATGAACAATTTAATTAATTAATTAATTATCTCGTGAGAGTGTGTGATTTGGATTTTTTTTTTTTAATTATCAAAGATTTACGGTATTATAAATGTAAAACATTTTAGTCAGGATTTCTTCCCCCCCCCAACCGAATTTTTAAAAACTCTCAATATTTAGCCAAATGATATGAAAAATTTATTTAAAATAATATAAAAATGATATGAAATAAACGAAGAAAACTTAGTGTGTGTGTGCATACCTCTCTGTACGTATAAAAATAATTATCGTTTGGCTAGATGTTAAAAAGAAAAAAAAAACAAAAAGAGGTAAATTTATAGAAGCAACAAATTGTTTAATAGTGTCATTTTAATTATGACTAACCCTGTTCTTCTCCCAACAGATTATAACGTGTTGGCGAGTGTTTAACAAGGCAGCGCCTGTGAACAAAACAAAAATATACAAATTATATATACACAAACACACACGCATACACAACACGTACACACTCGTTTCTAAATTTATTTTAATGACTGAAAAAGTACGATCGTTCTCTTAGCCCTTAACGAATCTATTATTAATTAGTATTATTACTATTATTATTATTATTATTATTATTATTATTAAGAGATGAATTAAATAATTTAATGTGACTACATAGTAATAAAAAGTATTACAATATAATTAATATTCCATAATTATCAAAACGGTTGTTGTTTACGATAGTTAAGGGTTGAGGATGGTCAGACCGAACAGTATTTAAATTATAATAATTAACAAAAAAATGTTGGTAAGAAAAAGTGTGAGAGAGGGAAAAATACCTCAAAAAAAGTGAATGTTACTTTTTACAAATCAATTATATACTTTTGTCGTGTGTATTTATGTGACAGCATATCGTACTTATTTATTTTAATTACTATTAGATAAAATAATATTATTTTGTTTTTAAATTATAGAAAGATCTCAAATGATTTTTCGTACAAATTCTTCGCTAAACATTTGTGATATCGTTCGGTCGAAATATTATATTAGAAAAAATGAAATTTTTACATGATTTTAAATCAAAGTAATTGTCCAAAATTTAAAAGATAGTTATTGAAAAACATTTAGATTGATTGTTCAATGTTCGTCGTATAAAAAAGAAAAAAGGAAGTAAAAAAATATTATATTGTCTTATCATGAAAAAATATGTAACTGCACAATAATGTCGCGTTAGTTGTGTGTCACTTGTATTTCTCTTTTCTTTTTTATTTTTTTTTTTCGATATCGATAATAAACCTCAGGAGGATCGTTGTAATTTACGAAATATATTGTAACCGGTATTTTTTGTACAGTATTTTCAGCATACATCTTTTTATTATTAAGATAAAACCACAAAAAAAAAAAAAAAGAAACAAAATGCAAAGAAATGTCAATATTTAAAAATTCATAAGCTGGACATTTTGTCAAAGGGTTCCTACGTTGTATCTGAAAACGAAACAAACAAACAAACAAATAAAATATAGAAATTAATCGATTGAACATCGAATAGACCTCAATTACTGCCAATTTTCGCAAGTTAAAGAAAATATATCTATCTAGGTATATATATATATATATTTACTTTATTTCGATTAAATTTTTCCTATTGTGTATTAAAATGTTTCTTGTCTCAAATAATACGAAGAAGAAGAAGAAGAAGAAAAATGGTAAAAGAGTAAACATCTTACTCATTAAAATCGTAAACTATATTGTTTCAACGCTATAAATAAATGTTAAATTCTAAATGTTAAATAATATCGATGAGTATTCTATCATATTAATCTACCTACATTCTTAAATACAAGAGATTTAAAAAAAAAGAAGAAACTAGCCGATGAAAATTGAGAAAATAAACGAACATTTAGTAAACAAAGTGTTTTATGAAACGAAAATTTCTATTTACATACTTATAAAAATTATTTCGATCGTATTCGACCAACCATCTCTCATTTGTTCTCTTTGTATCAATCATTCATCTGATAAAAACTTTTAATTATATATATGTATATATTATGGGAACGCAGCACCAATCGTTTGGAAAAAATGTATCATTTCTTTTTCTTCTTTTTTAAAGAGTTACACCTCCCTCTCAGTGGTACGTTTGATGCGTACAAGTTATTTGTTTTCCAAACCCACTAAATATCGATACTTAAAATTGATCTTAAACATTAGAATTTTAAGTTCGACAAATTTAGTAAGTATTTTTATCGCATGAACTTATTGATGGTCATTTTAGAATACAATAATTTATGAAATATACAATCGATTAGTTTAGATTTCTTTTAGGCACTCTCATTGTCAGAGTTATTTGGTTCATAATCAGGATCATCCTCGTCATTATCCTCCAAATCGAGATCATCCAGATTTTGAAATAAGCTTTCATCTACCTTCACTGCATCTCCTGATATTTTAACAAAAATATATTATCGTAAATATATTCATAATTTCTTAGAAAAAAAAAACAAAAAAATAAAAAAAAAAAAAAAAAAAATACAAAAAAGAATATACTACAAACAAAAAGGTTTGTACCATCATCTAAGAATTTAAGGTCAGATTGATCTAAAGTCTTATCTGTCATGAATAATTCTCTTCCTGTTAATTTCTTTCCTTCTCGATCTGCCATTTCTCTTCTCTTAGTGTATCCCATTTCTTCGTCGAACTTTTCCTTCCAGCTTAAGAAGGTTTCTACGGTAACTCTGGTTCCTTCAAATCTTTTCTATTGAAGTAAATGGTCAGATTTTGTAATAAAATACCAGTAATTAAAGTACCAACATATTATTATGTTTAACAAATAAAATATTCGCATAGACTGACCATCATTCATTTTATACACAAGATATTGATTAAATAAATAGAATTTTTTATATAATCCACACGAATCCTAATAACAATTTCATATATTTCATCGCTTACTCTTTCAGCTTCTTCCTCCTCTTTAAGTTTTAAAGCGGCACACTCTTCCCTGTGTAATTTTATTTTATCCCATTGTACATTCATCCATTCTTGTGCTGCGCTGACCAACGTAAAGACCATTACCATTCCTAAATTTTCATTTATTTGTTCGATCAAATGTCCAGTCAATTCCTCCCCACTACCTTCCTCAAAGTTCTCTGGATCTTGTATTGAAACGACAAGAGCTTTGTCTGGATATTCTGACGTATAAGTAAATTCTAATCGACAACTCAGACCGTTGTCTGTTTCAGGTTCATACTCCTCTGTTTTAATCGGTATAGCGAACGAATAGAATGGCTCTGTATTTAAAACTAAACAAAATAATCATTTTAAATAAATAAAACAAAAATTCATATTTAAATTTTATTATAAACAACATAATTCCTAATGGGAAAAATCTAACATAAAAACAATATAAACGTACTATATTACTTAATATTACAAAATATATAAAAATAAAATAAAATTATAGGTTATAATAGGTAAAAAAAAAAAAAAGAAAAACACAACCAAAAAATTCCCATACTTTCCAATTCTCCACAATAAATTGATTCCAAAGCCTCGATTTCGTTTCGTTGCTCTTCTTGATAATCCATCGTGTATAATTTATCGAGTTATTAATCGTATCAAGTTGAAAATTATCAAGTAAACTTATTCGATACCAGCAAATAATATAATGGCATGTTACACGCTACGAAAATTTACCGCGTGCAATACTACACGATTGATAACAAGTGCGACATCTATCGGATGTCAATGAAAATAATTCAATGATACAATACAGCTGACATCTGTTGGAATTTATCAACGAACTTGAATGAATAGTACTACGCGCGTAGGTAAAGTAGTAACGAAATTCGCGCCAAGATCTATAAATTATGAATGACATTTACTATCGCGTGATTTAAATGCCACCAAACGTCGTAAAGACGAATAATGAATTAACGTTATATTTAATCATTTTTATAGTCTATAAATATACTAATATTATTTGCATATATTTAATATATCGTATAGAAAAGAAAAGAAAAAAAAGAAAAAGAAAATAAAAAAGAAAAAGAGAAAATAAATGTTACATAATACATGTCGAATACGTTGAAGCTTTAACCAATCGAAAAGTTTAGTCAGTTCAAGGATCACATCAAGCATTAACACGATCTTGGTGATCCAAATCGATCATAATCTTTACGAGACATCTAAAAAGTATATTAATAGTTCATCCCCCTTTTCTCGAGAAGTAAAACTACGTACACGTGGAGGATACACAAAAAAAAACAAGCTAAAAAGAAAATCTTCGGTGTATTCGAAATGTATAAAAATATTTCAAGCTTAGGCGTTTGTGAGTTATTTTTATCGTAAAAATTCCATTGATGGAAAACGGGGAACGTTGACTAAAGTACAAATTGTCGATAAAAAAAAAAAGAAAACAGAAAAGAGAGAAAAAAAAAAAAGGAAAAAAACAATGTGTAAACCCGTTGAAAACAATTTGTAACATAATACGTGCTCGCGCGCACATGTACCGCTCATACGTGCATATACGTTGCGTGTACGTCTGTTACCACCGTGTATAAAAATATATATATATTATTAGTAAAAAAGTTATTTTCAACAAGAATTTCATTGATAGAACAAACCAGTATAAATATATATATATAAAAAAAAATTGTGTTAAATTAATTTCTTTTTTTTTGTTTTTTGTATATAAATTATAAACCTACGTGTACGCGAGTATACGTGTGCGTGCGTGTGTGTTTGTGCATTATAAATATATTTATAGCATATATCAGGAATGGCGTCAGGAGCTTTGAGATCAGTTAAGTCAGCAGGAGTATCTCAAAGCTGGGAATTTTGTATAGCTAGAGAAATAAAAAGAGAGTGAGTGGGAAAAGGAGAGAGAGTGTGAGAGAGAAAGAGAGAGAGAGAGAGAGAGAGAAAACCGATGAGACTAGCAACGTTTCGCCCTGGTGGCAATCAATACACGGCAGTGGAACACGGCACGACGACAACGTAGTAGTAGTCGACATACTAGCCTTCATTGATATGTATTAGTAATACTTATACTAGTATATTGGTAGTAGCGGATGGTGGTGGAGGTGGTGATAGCAATGGTGGTGGAGGTGGTGTTGGTGCTGGTTGTGGTGGAGATGGTGGAAATGGTGGTGGTGGTGGTGGTGGTGGTGGTGGTGGTGGTGGTGGTGGTGGTGGGTTCGAAGTCTCGTGCGTTTAAAGCTCGGAGCTTTCTCAGTCGGACGTGTACTCTCGCCTCGAAATCTTGGCATCGAAAGCTCGCGATATAGAATTGTCAAGATTACACACATCTGTTATATATAAATATATATATATATATATATATGTTTTCGTTTTTCTAAGGCTTTTATCTATATTATCTCTTCCTATATTTGTTTTTCTCTTTCGAAAGAGAAATAAGAGAGAGGAGAGAGGAGAGGGAGAGGGAGAGAATTCGCGCGCCTAAAAATTCGGCTCTGATATTTTTCCGAGAAGAAAGAAAAAGATAGAAATAAAGAGAGAGAGAGAGAGAGAGAGAGAGAGAGAGAGAGAGTAAGATAGAGAATGAGGGAGGAAAAGAGGAAAAGAGAAATGAGATAGATAGATAGAATGAGGTAAAACGGAAAGGCGGAGGTTTCAACCGGCAAAATGGCGGCAGGCGAAACTGCAACCATGAAAGAAGTTTTTAAATCCTTTTCGTGAATATTGATACAATCAAATAATTTTGTCCAGGGATAGTGAAGAAAAGGAAAATACGAAGGAAACGAGGAAAGGGAGATTTAAAAAATTGTGTATTTAAAAAACAAAGAAACTTAAAATAATCATCAAAATATCGTTTTTCCATCTTCATTTGACAAGACCAACCATTTCTAGAGAATAATACAAATAATGTGTGTAATCTTTTTAATAATTCCATTGGCTTAATCGATCGATAAGAATTTGCATTCATATATGTATATAAAAAAAAAAACAAAATATATATTATATACATATATATATACAAATATATATATAACATATATATATATATATAATAAATAATAGGAATAAAAAGAAAAAAGAACATTAGAGTTGGCCCGTTTCCTGGGTGACCACGCGAGATTATCGATCGCGGATCCTTGAACGGTCATGAAAGGAGGAAGGTCGATTTTTTATTGGACTAGCGTGTCCATTGGTGTTGTTGGATCAAAGTGGTCGAACTCGAGGATCATTTTTGGTGTTAGTATCGTTTGACCGATTGAACAAGAAGAGAGGAACCTAAACGACGACTATCATGCATCTTCATTTCGAGAAGAACAATAACGCCAAGTGCGATTGTAATATTTTATCCCTCAGTTGGATGGGCAAAGTACCGGACGAGTCACCTGAGGTATGATTTTAATTTCTACAAAAAATTATTATTATTATTATTTTATATTAATATATTTTTAATATACGAGAGAAATAACGATTGAATTTATTTAAGAAATATACATATATACTTATCGTTATGTGTATATATTTTTACGTATTTTGTATTTTTATATATATATGTGTGTATGTACATATATATGTGTGTGCGCGCACGAGTCAAGTGGGTATAAAGTTGGAACGCCAATAAAACGTAAAGCTAAACGAGCATCCTTCTAAGTAGGTTAGAAAGTTTCGATAAAGAATTTATAAACATATATATATATATAGGCTTTCTTCTTTCGATTAAAATCCCTGTATGAATTTTCTATCCAATGGAATATATCGATGATGTTACCTTTTATGAGACACACATATCTTTATTCAATTGATTTATTGAATCTTCGAATAAACATTCGAAAAGGACACGTGTAATAATTTAACAGTTTATAATATATAACATTTAGTTAGTTTCCTTTTCTTTACTTTTATATAACGTTGAAACAAATTAATTAAACTTTATCCCACACATTGTTACATACAAATATGTTTATAATGTAAGCTTTGAAAAATTTCTCATTTCCTGGCTCTTTTTATTAATATAAAATAAAAAAAAAAGAAAAAATTACGAAGTAACCGTATAATATGGTATACACAAACACAACACACACACACAAACACGTTAACGTTGAAAAGACTTACCACTAATGACGCCAGCGCAGTTTCGTTTGCATATAACTTTTTGTTTTTTCTTTTAAGCTATATAATGTTGAAAATCCTATTGCAAAGTTTCATAAAGCGTTACTCATTTATTTTATACGTCTATTATGTTCACCGTTTTTCTTTCTTTTTTCTTTTTTTTTTCAGAATTATTAAAACATTGTTAATTATTATTATTGCAATATTTCAACCAAATCGATCGATTATTTCGTTCCTCGGTCAAACCTACAGATTTATTTTAGATTATTTATAATTATTATAAAACGATTAGATGCTCTGACCTTATAGAATTTTAAAAAGCAATTTTTAGAAATTGTCTATTCGAATAAACCATCAAAAGGTAAAGACATATATGATCGTTTATGGATGGAAGACGTAATCAAGTCTAAAGCTTAGAAAAGCACGAGTAGAACTTCTTCTTCTTTTCTTCTTCTTTTAAGTATGATAAATTCTTGAACCTTGAATTTAATTAGATATCATACATTATTAAATGAACGTACGAGGTGTCTCATAAAATACATAATTAATATAACAAAAAAATAATAATAATAATAAAAATGAATATTGATTGACCAATATTAGGTTTCGAGTTTTATGATGATTATAAAAATAATGATGTTTAACGATTAACAAACAAAATGTATGTTAACATATAATTCAAGTAATATCATTATTTCGATAAAATATTTCGTAACACTTGCAACAATTCGAAAAATCAAAATGTCAAGTTGTTGGTTGGAATCTTTTGGCTGACCCAGGTCAGTCGAAAAGAAAAAGAGAGAGAGAAAAAAAAAAAGAAAGAAAAAGAAAACGAGGTTGCAACGTGTACGACTCGGCCAAGTTGGAACGCCAACTCAAGGGTAATGTCAGTCGATCGAATCGTTATCACGCGAGGAGAATAAATAAAAATGTTCTGAGCGAAAGGAAAATAAAAAAAAATACGAGTGCTAGTTAATTGAAAAAAGGAAGAAGAAGAAGAAGAAGAAGAAGAAAATGGCAAAAGACCAACAAAAGGAAAAAGGAAGAATAAAAACAAAAAAAGGGATGAGAGAAATACAACCTCTTAATATTTATGTAGTAGCAGTAGTAATAGTAATAATAGTTAATATAATAAATTTTTTTTCTTATCCAAAATTTTCCTAATATTTAAGTTAATGTAGGATAAGTTATGTAAATAATTTAAGTTATGGTAGGATAACGGTTTAAAATTGACTCTATATATAAGATAGTGAATACCTATGACTGTAATGAGAAATGATGTTAGATTGACTAGTGAACATAACTATCGAGTTGCTGAGGAAGTCCCAAATATAGGGACGAAACGTTCAACGGATAAAGAGATTGTTCATTTAATTTAAACCTGTCCAAAAAAAAACACCCCTAAGAATTAAACTTAGTAATAGTAATAATAGTATTAGTGATAGGAAAATGATAGTAAATTTGAATGGATCAGTTTGAGGAGAAATCGTTGGTGCGTGTACGTTGGTTAACAGATGTGGAGCGTGAAATCAGTTTGTCGTGTTCCGTGCTAACCGATTCAACTGTCATTTTCGTCCTGCATTCGTGTCAAACGCAGCACGAAATTAATATCCGATCCACCCTCGTTTATGGATTTCATCTACGACAGCATCAACGATATCTAACTTCTCGTTATGTCATCAGTCCAGTCTATTTAATCGTTTGTAAAGAAAATTCTTCGTTAATTGTTTCACACATTCCTGCTGTAAAAGATTCCTCAGACATAGAAAAACATATTAAGTTTGTTTTTTGATTTATTCAGTATATATATATCATTTATATCTATCCCAAAACATTAATACACCGCTGATCATTAATTTTCCACTATATAGGTACAATTTAAATAAAAATACTGATCATATTAAATATTCCAAAAAAATATAAATTATTCGTTTAACTTTTTATAATAATAAAAACCGACGGTAAAAAAGAAAGAAAACAAATGAAACACGCGGAGGAAAAAGTTTATAATCATTATTATATCTTCTTTGAATTATACAAGAAGATGAAATTTTTCAATTAGATTACATTACATCCTCCCGAATGGTATCAACGAAGGTATAGAGGAAAAATTTGCACCTAAGTTTTTGATTAATGTACAATATGTTAAACATGATGTCCATGTTATTATTTCGTCAAAATATTCCGCTAAAGGAATCTGAGTAATTAGACGACGTTGAGGAATAAAGGAATAATGGGAGAGAGAATGGAGAAGATAACAAAAAAATAGAAAAAGAAGAAATTTGTTCTTAAGTCTCCGAGGGATGATTCGTTCAGCTGGAGGTCTGTTAATAATCCCTGGGAGAATCGGCAAGCAGCCACATCAAAGCGAGAGAGTCCAAGGAAGATTGGAATCCACTGGGGTAGAGGGAGAGGGGTCGGGAGGGGGGTGGGGAAAGCAAAGTCTTCTCTTAAAGGATGGCAAGAAGAGGGAAGGAGTGGGTGTAAGGGGGAGGGGGTTATAGAATACGATGTAGGATTCACCCTCTTCTCTTCATAGGCACACTACGACAATGATGCAACAACACGAGGAAACGAGAAAGGGATGTTTCGTAAAGGGAGGAACCACCAAGCATGAGTGTTATATTCGCACAGCCTGCTACTACTTACACTTTCTCAAGATCTAAGATCGTGCCTGGTGTCTCAAGTGGCTCTCATTTCATGCCACATACGTTCCAACAATATGCCCATATCCTGTAAAACTCTAACATTAGACGTCCTTTTAATATATATATATATATATTTTTTTATTAAATTCTATACCTTCTCTGCCTATAGTGTTGAATTTTTATTTCTTATTTTATTTCTTTTTTTTTTCTTTTCTTACTTCTTCAAAGTCGAATTTTTATCATATCTTCGACGAATGATTTATTTTATTTTTTTCTCTAATTGAAAAATGTATCCTTATTATTTTTCGATTATTTTGATTTTGTGTGTGTTTTTTTTAAAACGTGAATATTACGTATTCTACGTGATAAAATGGAAATAAACGGAAAGGTTTTTCTATGTATTAATTTAGAATTAGAGAGGAAAGAATGTTACAAAGGATATAGGAATTAACCCTTAAAATGATGTTCAAAGAGAATAAGAGGCGAGGATCGGCGACACATCGAGTATCCCAAAAATTTGAGATAGAGATAGAGAGAGAGCTTGGAAAAGGGCTTACAAAGGGACACCACGTCTAAAGCCAATGACGTTCAATTAATCTTGCTTGCTCTCTCTCTCTCTCTCTCTCTCTCTCTCTCTTTCTCTTTCTCGCTTTCAGTGTGATGCTGCAATCTTTCTTTTTCTATCTTTCTCTTGTTCTTCTCTGTCAAGTTTTTGGCCCACGCGTTCGTGTTCCCATTCACAAGAGTTTTCCTACTTAAACACGTGGTGTATTATATTATATAGATAGAAATAATATATATATATTTAGATATTTACGATAGGTCGTAATCTTTAACACACTTTCTCACAGAATCTAACCCTTTTTCAAATTAATTTCTTTGAATTTATCCTAATAACTTGTAAATAATTATTCGAAATGATTCCATTATTATCGTCGAAATAGTGGAGTGCCAATAAAATGCTTCATTAAATTCTACTTTTCGAAGTACTATTATTACTACTTCTACTACTACTACTATTAACACTACTTACATATAAAATGTTAATATTTTCCGATGTAATAACCAAATAAAATGGATTTAACTTTGGATTATATTATCTTTAAATAACTCGCTAAAGTTTTTAACTTATCGTACAAACTTTTTCATTTAGATTTATCTCGACGAACGAAATATTCGAAAACTCGACTTTTACAAAAATATAATATCAATTAAAACTATCGAATAAGAGTGTCGGTAAAGTTATTAATCGTACGAAAACGAGTTGTTATATATATTTTCTTGAAATTCGTTATCATCGTGCTGTATCCTTAAAACTGTAAACTATCGTCAAGAAACTTTGACAAAAAGTTTTATTAGACGAATACATATAAATTTTCTATGTTTTTTTTTTATGAAAAGCCATAAAGAGTCACTGCGATGGTATCTCCCCTCCTCCTCCTCCTCCTCCTCCCCACCCGCGATGACAGAATTTTATCGTTCGTTTGCACGCATTCGAGTTGAACAAAAATAACCATTAACGATTTATCACGGAGGTTTGATTGTTATTTTCAAGCGAATATTTTTCTATGAACGGAAATTTACACAGTGCAGATAAAAAGAATATTATTTTATACATCACCTCTCCCTCCCC